GGGTCCGGGCTGGGGATTCGAACCCACCACCTTAGGTGTACGTGGCTGGTGCCCTAGCCGGTTGAGCTATAGGCGCCGAGCCGTTGATTTATACTCTTTTCTTTCTCCTAAAACCCAAATCCTATTCAATGTTCAAGTCCCACTTTCTCCTTGAGGCCTTCATTGAGTTGTCTCTGTCACCCCTTATTATTGGGTATGGTCAAAGTACCATCACAGTTTTCTAGGACTACAGGCACCAGCCACAATGCTCAGCTATTTTTTGGTTGCAACCATCATTGTTGTTTGGTGGGCCCAGGCTGGATTTGTACCTGCCAGCTCAGGTGTATGTGGCTGGCGCCTTAGCCACTTGAGCCACCGGCACCAAGCCACTAAAGAATGGATTCTTAACCACTGCACCACATATACCTTTTTTTTTTTTTTTTTTGAGACAGAGCCTCAAGGTGTCACCCTGGGTAGAGTGCCATGGCATCACAGCTCACAGCAACCTCCAACTCCTAGACTCAAGCAATTCTCCTGCCTTTGCCTCCCAAGTAGCTGGAACCACAGGCACCTGCCACAATGCCTGGCTATTTTTTTATTGCAGCCGTCATTGTTGTTTGGCCTACCCAGGCTGAATTCAAACTCACCAGCTCAGGTGTATGTGGCTGGCGCCTTAGCCACTTGAGCCACAGGCACCAAGCCACTCATATACCTTTTGACTTCGCTCATTTGATCATTCAATCAAAATTACTACACGCGTGGGGCAGGCACGGTGCCTCACACCTGTAATCCTAGCACTCTGGGAGGCCAAGGCAGGTGGATTACCCTCAGTTCATGGGTTTGAGATCAGCCTGAGAAAGAGTGAGACTCCATCTCTAAAACTAGCCAGGGGCGGCACCTGTAGCACAGTGGGTAGGGCGCCGGCCCCATATACCAAGGTGAATTCAAACCCGTCCCCAGTCAAACTGCAACAAAAAATAGCCAGGCATTGTGGTGGGTGCCTGTAGTCCCAGCTACTCAGGAGGCTGAGGCAAGAGAATTGCCTAAGCCCAGGAG